CTGCAGTTGTGCTTCAAAGTAAGTGTGCCTTTTTCACTGCAAGTAATTTCAAAAGGATGAACAGATTCATTCCCCATTGACTTTGGCCTCAGCAAGAGATGCAGATCATTAAGGCGTTAATAGGACATGGAAGAGGAGCAGCTGAACACATCGCAACCTAACAGCCATGATATTCTTCCCACCTGCTTTTGACTTGCATCTCTGATCAGACTTAGCTATGTTAGGATTACCAAAGTTATTATGGTTCCCACCAGGAAATGGGTTCTGTGTCCCAGTGTTGAAGGTGATATGGGCTGGAAGAAAAGTTAGGGAGGAAGAAGCCATTACTTCAAAGCAACATAAAAGCTGGAGCACAATGTGCATATGCGTCTTGGCACAAAGACTTTGACTTGTACAGACATGTCATGTGGTTTGATGAGACTAAAATCAAAGTTAAGGTTGTTGTTCTCATGGGTGTTTTGTTGCAGGGGGTACAGCACACAAAAGAGAGCATCATGTGGAAATATTGAAGCAACTTTTAAAAACAACGGCCAGGGGGTGAACGCTTGGGCATAAATGAGTCTTGCAAATGAACTATGAACCTAATCAGAAGCAAAATAGCAGTGAAGTGTTATAAGGACAGTATTTTGGAAAGTCTAAAACTGTGAATATCGTTTGCTTGTAACACTTGTACAAGTTGGTGTCGGATGATGTTGTTAATGTTCTGAACGTTACTGATTGTGATTTCTGTTATTTTCCACAGTAATAGACAATTTTACACTCTGGTTCTCATTCTTTCTTTCTCTTACATTTTATAAGTAATCTTGGCAGAAGGTTGGTCACTGTCGACATTCCTAAAGGTTCACAAGGAACGTAGAGGATGAAACCTTGATACTCGAGACTGTTACCTGAAAAGCTTATCGGGATCAAAGCTTTTCTTTCTAACATCAGACAGACAACCGCCTTTTCTTAACAAAGGCAGACGGTCTGTGTTGAGCTCCTCAAACGCTTGGTGCAAATTCACACCTATAATTCAATCAACTCTTTCTTTCCTTTGTTGGGAAACACCCACAACCAGTGACGACCTGTTATCACAAGATCTGCTGACCAGAACCTACAAAAGACAGCCAGACTGTTAGCGACTGCAGACTTGACAGACTGCTTTGATTTTGGATTTTTGTTGCTACTTCTACTGATATCTTACACAGTAAACTTAAATTCAGGATTCTGAATTTCCAACTTGTAATCCCAAAATTAGATTTTTCCTTTTTTTTTTCTGGAATATTCTGATCACAGAACAGTATTTAAATCAACCACTGTCGTCTGTAGATAAGACAAAATTTTACAAAACTTTACTCGGAGTGTCTACTCAGGGGAGGAGACACTCCGAAGGTAAAAAATAGGTTCAGTTTTTAAATGGAGACTTTTCAGCTTTTTACACAGGCAATACAAGAAAAGCTCTGGAGTTATGCAACGGCCATTTGCCGCATCAATGAAGTTCACACGAGGTCACCAAAGATGCTAAACTTGCTTAATATCATCCTGGAAGAACAGAGAAAAAAGCCAGAGAATACTTGCTGTTTCTGTGACCACATTGTCCTGCCTATGTTGTTTATGATCACAGAAAAGGTCAAAATAAAACAAAAGAGAATACAGAATGAACATGAGCATTAGATGCACACAGCCGGATAAGAAGACAACGGTTATGTAAACAGCTCATGAAGTTCTTTGAGCAGCCCGGGCCTCTCTTGAATGAAAATAACCAACCTTTCAATTTTTAACATCAGCAATGCCACGTGTACCTCCTTATGTTGTGCAGGTCCCACAATACACTGCAGAGAAACATTAACCTAAGACAGGAATCACAACCAAACCTAAGAAAAAATTAACTTGTGGACAAAGGCAGGTTTAGGGAGGGGTTGCATTATGTGCAAACTGAAGGGTTGTTCCTCTTTGCTACAGGGATTAATCAAAGTATGGTCATAGAAGGTCATTTAACTTCCTTTAAATTACAGTCTGTCCGCAAACTTAACATTTGATAACTTCGTTTTCTTTTGCCTAATCAGACATTTTGAGTGCTTGAGTGACTTGCAGCTAAATGTACTGACTCCAGCTTGTCGATCTTCCCCAAATTTCCTAATGGGCGACTGTCGGCTGATCTTTCTCTGTGGAGTTTGCATCTTCCTCCTGTTTATGTGGAGGTTCTCTCTGGGTACTCCGGCTTCCTTTCACGGTCCAAAAAACATTGTTGTTGGTAATTAATTACTCCTAATTGCCTTTAGGTATCAATGTGTGTGTGTGCATGTTGTTTTGGTCCTGTGGGTCTCTGTGTTGTCCTCTGATGGACGAGTGACCTGTCCAGGGTGGAACCTGCCTCTTTCTCATAACTCTGTAAGGACAAGCAGGTAAAGATGATGGATGGATTTAAATTAGTCCAATGATGAAATTTTATCATTGCACTTTTCTACAGCAAAACGTTCCATTGATGAACCTCATTTGCTTTCTGCTCATAATTCATGTTTCAGCTTTTTGTTGCTCATTTCACAAATAGACATTCATATTTATTTATTAAGAAGTTGCTGGTGTTTTTCTTCCTGCTGTCCCCCGAATGACAATCTCCCTATCCAAATGAGACTGATCATAATCCTTTATTTCCCATAAATGGATGGGACTGCAGTGCATTTACAGTTTTGGTTTATTGTTTTGCATTATAGTTACACAGAGAATAATTGGAGGATTAGGAACAACTGCGGGCTAATCTTAAATGATGCAGCTGCTGTTTGTGGGATTTTGTTGATTGCTCCATTTGTTGCGCTCAATACTCACTGCCAGAAGAGTTAGTAAAACCTTTAAAATAACTTGCACGTCTTGCAAAACTTCTTCTCACCATCTTTTCTAATTAAGGATGAAGAACATGGTGGCACAAAGGTAGAAATGCAGGGGGCAGTGTTATCTCAGTGATGTAGCTGCACTTTATTTCTCCCTTTTGTCCTCCAGCTTCTCCTCAGAGGGCTCAGTGAGATCAGCGGTGCGTTTTATGTCTGCACTGTTACTACCTCACAATCATGACCGTCTCAGTAGCTTAAAGGTCACACTCAACACACATTAAACGTGTGATTTAATGTTGCACTTTTGGTGTGTGGTAAAACTAATTTCAAACCTCGAGAGACAAAAAAGGGTGAATGTAACAGGGCAGCAACTTTAATGTCTCCTTATTAACTTAAAAAAAGATATTTCAAAATACCAGAATAGCTTTTAACCTTTAAATGGAGCCCTTAGCGTGATTGTTTTTGATTAAAAAGGTTTTTGGTCAGTTGGATGAACAAATCTTAGCTTTATGTTTTATCATTATCCAGTCAAAAGTTTACATACATACTTAATCATCATGAATGTCATATTCATTTTGGGTTTTGATTATTTATTTGAACAAAAAACTTCAAAGCCAAGATTAGGTGCATGCATTTATTAAAGAGGTTTTCACTAATCCAAAAAGGGGTAAAATTACACAAATGGGCTTAAAAATACATTCACTGCCACGGTATCATAGCAAGTTACAGAGCAACATTGTGCTTTTGTATTTGACCAGGCTTCCAATCAGAAGTTTGAGGGGATTGATATGGTTTTGGGCACAGAACTGTTTCTTGATCATTGTCAGTCAATATGCAGCAACATTAAGGAAGAAAGCTTCATAATATTCTTTCATTCTCCATTCCAGACCAGTTGAAGTGAGTTTGATTTTGTAATACTCAGTTGTGTGTCCAAGTTTCAGCCATCTTGGTGTTGATTTTAGGTGAAGTTAGATAATCTGTAAGTAGTCTTCCTTCTTTTGCCCAACTATTTTGTGGACTGCACAAGTACCACCACATCACAGGACTTGACAGGCAGTACAAGCCTTGTACTGACTGCAGGCAGCATTGAATTCCCTGCAATTTCCTCCTAAAACATTTCTTGTCTTTGTGGCTGAACATTTTTGTAGCCTGCACATGTGGAAAGTGGACATTTAAATTGTTTAGTAGAGGTCTTAACTTCTGTCACCACGGACTACCATCCTGCGAGGTGCCAATACATCTAGATCTATTAATCTGATCACTGGCAGAGCTCTGTGAAAATAGTGAAAAGCAAAGAAGGAAAATCAGTCTTTATTCATGTGTTTTGAAGATATGTAAAAGTTCCCAGATTCTCGGTTTTGAGGACAGTTGAAGGTTCATGCTTTGAGGAGTCTGGTTTGGAGCAGAGACTTCACTTATGTTGAGTTGATGGTTTAACTTCACTTCAATCTGGACAAAGGCGCTAGTGCTTTAGCATCTCCTAGTTTATGACTTTGGGATGAAACAAAATTTATTCTCAAATGAATCTTGTTTCTTCTCAGGGTGATTTTGGAGCACTAAACAGGATGGGGATCTACACTCAAAATTTGTTCAGTAAGGGAAAGTTTTTCAAATGGCCTTGCCAGAGACATGGGACTCACTAAAATTATTAAAATTAAAAAGTACAAAAATGTTCAAAGACCAGAATTATTTACACTCATACCAAGGAGTAATGTATGCAACATTTTCACGGGCAGTGTATTCATCATTGTGTGGATTATTCTACTTAGAGGAATGTTTTTGTGAACTACTTTCAGTATTTTAGCTAGACTGAGATCTGAGAAAAAAACAACAAAAAAACTACAAAAGGACTAAACAAACCAGGAAGATTGTTTTATAGAAATATCTATGCAATATCAGGGCAAATATTACATGCAGAATCTACATTTTCAGAATGTATTCAGCTACTTGCAGGGAATTTCACTATCATCATTACTCGACCTGATCTTATGAACTAAAATGCAATAGACTGAACAACAAAAAGCATTCAGAGAGAGAGCAGCATGCGATTAATCACAATAGATACGGTCAATATTTGACACAACACGCTAATACAATGTTTTTTTTTATTAAGATTGTTTAGCCCTAATGTAAATTTATGTTTCTGTTATGTAAAGGTTGAAGTATTTAAAATTGTTAATGACAAGCAACCTCCCAGTTTTTAACACCTCATTTTATTGTCCCAACATTCAAAAGTACAAATAATTTAAACACAACAGTTTTATGAAAAAGAAAAAACAAACATTTACAGCAAGATTTTTATTTTGTTTCCAGTTTCAGAAATGACCTAAACTAGCAAGGATAACATGAAGTCATTCATCGCAATAATTGGATTAATAATAAGAATACTAAGAATAATAGCAATAATAATCATAATAATCATCATTGATAAGTGTTAAGTAATAACATAAGCAGGAGAGAGTAGAGAGAGCCGCGGTCACGGGGCCCCTGTGAACATCTTTTCATCTTTTTTGTCTTTAAAGATTTTGTTTATAGATTTTTCAGATAGTAAATAAACACGTCTCAGGAGGAAAATGAAAACTGACAAGAAGAGCCTAGTTCCTCTGTTCACCTTCCCTCCTCCACTACTGGCTGCGTTGTTCCTACTGGCAGGCTGCCACTATAAGGCGCTACAGGGGGATGGTGTGAGCCATAGGGGTCGGGCATAAAGCGAGGTGACGCAGCCCCATGTTTCAAACACACACACACACGCACACGCACGCATACTCTAAACAATCATCCTTTTACATCTCCGTCACATACCCGCAAACACGCATTCAAGGGTGTGCACTGAATGAATACATTTAAAGCATTTCCACTGCACACGTAAATCTACTTCGGTATGCCGACAGACACGCTCACGTCGACGTAAAGGAACATGCGTACAAACAGATGTGCGTCCACACAAACGTGAACGCCGTGGTTTTCAGGCGGGAACACAGGCACGCATCCTAAGAGTTGAAAAAGTCACACAGAGTACGAAATCCACACATCAGAACATTCTACTGGGGTCGTTGCATAATTCAGGCTCCCGACCGGCGGAGGGGAGCGTGAAGGGGTCTGGTTGGTCTGTTGCTGTTTAGACGTGATCGGAAAATGGGGATGACGATAGAGAGAGATGACCCGGTTTTTCCAGATGGGATAGAAGGATGTAGCTACGCGTGTGAACGTTTCAAATGCTCCTCAACACACTTCCTTCATGTTTTCAAGCCTCAACAACAAACAGAAAAAAATCCAATTCCTTATATTTATACTTCTGGAACCTTTCCCTTACCTATCTCCTTTCAAAATATATAATATATATCATATTAGAGTATATAAAATATAGACTCAGCACAATCCCCTTTTTATACCTCCAGAGTATTTCTCAAATATAGCAACAACTGCTGCAAATAGCAGTTTGTGTGCAATGGTAACAACTTTTTAAAAGATTTGTTGGTGTGTCATTTGAAAACATGATGAATATTCTTAAAAATAAGTTTTGACTCTTGAGTGACCTGTTTAGTCCAGTGCAATGAATGACCCTCAAATAACAATTTCAAAAAATGTAAATCTACCCAAGCCTCTAAGAGCTGTATGTTGAATAAAAATGTCTTTTTTTTTTTTTGTTCTTTTTGTTTTTTACTGAAAACTGAAAACTATGCTTTCAGACCCACATTTTTGCATAAGGTTTCATCACAAAGCGGTAGTAAGTGGAGGGAGGGTGTGGACGGAGTGGCTTTTTTAGAACTACACAAACTTATCACAGGTTATATTGAACCAGAACGACTGTTTATAACATTCTAATAAGACTAAACTTTATTGAAAAAGATCTAGAGATTTCATTTTTAACAAGACAAGGAAAAAAGCAATAGCAAATTTAACTATTAACTAGGTTATGCATAGCGAGTAACTGTTTCTAGTAATAAGGGAAGAGCGTCCCCCAACCTCCAGACATTTTTTTCAGTTTTCTTGACTTTTAGGGTTTTTTTATATTGTAATTTTGATATATTGGTACAAAGCACAAACATACTAAAAGTTCTCTCAGTGCAGTGGACTACTGGAAGAGCCTCTCCACTAGTCGCTTTGTTCCCTTTTGCTCAGAAACGCCCCCCTCCCTGTACCAGAACCACGCAAATACACAGACAATGAAACAAATAAATACATAAATACACAGATAAATTAAGCAGTTAATAAATATAGAATAAATACAAATAAATAGAAAAAATAAATAGTTTAAAAATAGATAAGGAAATAAACAAGTACACTTATATTCTTCAAAATTTTGTTCAGTTTCTTTTGCCGCAGTAGTTAACTTAAAAGTTAATCCAATTTTTTTTCTCCACAAGCAACATGACAACAATTGAACAGTTTCCTCACAATTTTTTTTTCTAAGTAACTGAACCACCACTTCATAATAAACTGTCATATGAAAAAGACAAGCTCAAACGAAAGAACAGTGACAACTCAGATAAGTACAGTAGATATTGTAAAACAAATGTAGACTGTATATATATTTATATATATCATCTATTTGTACACAGCAAATAAAGACACAGTTGTCATAGATCCTTTTTAAGGAAAATATCTAGACTAACGGAACTAGCTAATCATCATTAAGTTTTGACAAACGTTTCACGCTCAGCGAGTAACCTAAAAGTCAGCAAGCCAAACAAAACAAACAAACCCCCAAAAAATAAAAAAAAATGTACAAATTTGTTCAGTGATTCTTACAAGGCCCCAAGCTAGTTTAATTTCCGCATAGAAATGGTGTCACCGGATTTGTGGGCCGACATTAAACAAATATTAAACAAAGAACAGCAGCTCAATTCAATGCCAACATCAAAGTATTTTTTTTTCTTTAAACAACACATAGAACAACAAAGTCGAATATTTAAGATATGTGAATAATGTAGTATAGCACCTACGGTTGATCGCTAAAAGGAAGTTCTCTTCAAATGTTAAGTTCACAAACGCAGAGCAAAGAAAATAATATAGATAATGTATAGTAAGCTCTATAAATGGATAGATGTGTATATATCTATGTACTGATATATTGACTCGTGACGAAACACAAGAAAACAAGTGGACAAAAGGGTCTTCTTGCTTTGGGCTCTGGACTATAAGGTTTGTTAGGCCTCGGAAAGACCCCTTTCCCTTCCCTTTTGGGTATCGCTGTTGAATAATTATGCACTAGTACACATGTGAAAAAATTACCAAAATCACCTGCCTCGGTTTGCATCCTCTTTTTCACAAAATCCTCCTTTCTACAAAATCCCGATCAACTCGGCATCACCAAAAAACAACAACCTCTGATCCTATAAAGTACCACAGCAGAACAACAAGACAAGGTGGTGCCCCCTCCCGCCCCGGCCCCCCAGTTAGCCAGTCAAAATATTTTTCTCTTTTTTTTTTTTCAAATCCAGATTCTGTAAAAATTCTTCAATAATTATTATTTTAATCATCATTTATAAAAATAGATCTTCTTTCTATTTATTTTCATCTTTTTCTAAATGCATTTTTTCAAGCAAAGAGATCTTCTCTTTGGCAACAGTGTTATTTTTTTTTTATTATCTTAAATTACTGAACATGTCATCAGGAAAGCTAACCCATCCCCTCCCTCACCCCATCTCCCTGAATCCCAGTGAGGAAAGACATTATGTTTTGTTTGCGATACAAAACAAAAACAATGTTAGAAATTCTTTTTTTTTTTTTTTCTACATCTGAACTTCAGGGATGGTAGAATCCCATCTATAATCAATAAGGGGAAGTTTTTAAATACACGCTACAAATGAATGAATGGTTTCACCAATTTAAAAAAGAGCCCCCTCCCTTTCATTTACAGGGGAGGTATATAATACTAACGACAGTGGATCCGGATTTACAAAAGAAAATTAAATCCTGAATCGAAGACAGAGAAAAGGTTCCGATCTTAAAAAGGACCCTCTCTTCTCTGAAATGCGGGGATTTGCTACTGTTTACACAGAAGAGAAAAATTTTTTAACAACCACAACAAACGAAAAGAATATACAATAAAGAGAAGCCTGCATTATCACAGGAGCTTCGAAAAAACTTGTCAACATTTTCATCATTTAATTTTTGTAATACTCAGGCAACGTTGGCTTATAGGTCCAAAGTTATAATATAAGCCATTTCTAGTTCAATTTGTTAGATGGTTTGTTGGCTGCTTTCTGTTCCAGGAGTTTGATTCTGCTGTGTTGGATGGCTGTAGAAGGGTGGTGGTGGTTGGAGGGACCTAAGGGACGAGTGGAGGTGGAAGGGAGGGGGTCAGGGGGCAAATTTAGAGCAGACAAAGTCGTGGGGCATCTGCTTCTGCCTGTCGAGAGTTCAGGACTTGTGTGTCTTGTTAGTCTTGAAGGAGACTTGCAAGACGCGGTCACCCAACCTGTAGCCATTGAGGCTGGCGATGGCCATGGCCGCCTCGTCGTAATTCGTCATGGTGACGAAGCCGAAGCCTTTGCACTTGTTGGTGTTGAAGTCACGGATCACCTTGACGTTGTTGACCGCGCCGAACGGGCCGAACAGCTGCCAGAGCACGCTCTCATCCGAGTCCGGGGACAGGTTGTACACAAAGATGCACCAACCGGTGCCTGTGTGCCCAGGGATGTTCATGCCCACCAGGCTTGTCATGCTGTCAATGGTGATGGGGGAAAACCTAAGACAGGAGGCAGAATGGTGGGAAACGACATAAGAAGATAAGTAATAACAAAATAATTTGTAACCCATAAAGAGGTAGTCTGTAATTAAAGGGACAGTTCAGGATTTGTGAAGGAAACTCTTCGCTTGTTTATACTAGAAATTACAACTGAAATGTTTATTTCAGTTCAGTAATTCAGTTTAAAAAGTGACAGAACATTGATTTAGGACACAAAAAGTGGTAGGTTTCATTTTATTTGTTCAGTTTTGATGATGCAGCACAGCTAACGAAAACTACAAATTCAGTTTCTCAGAAAACTGTAACATGATAGCAGACTAATGAAAAGGGATTCTTGATAAAGAAATTTCATGTTGTAGCTATTTGATGATTTGCACAGTTGTCGGGAAGGCTGTTTATGTGACAGTAGTTCAGCTGACACCCTCAACAAGCAACAAACGAGTTACCTCTATATAAGCTGGCTATTCACAGAGATCTGTATCCAACATACTAATGGAAAGTTGAGTGGAAGCAAAAGGTTGAGTAGAAAATGGACAGCAATAACCAAAACCTTAAGAGCGCTGTCTTTTTTCCCCCTGGGTTTAAGATTTCTAACATGTGGACTTCAGCAGGCCAGAGTTTTAAAACCTGCCACACACAGATGTGTCCATCTATTAATGTCACATTTCATGTGTTCAGCCTCTTCTTAACCAGAGAGTTCAGAGAAACTGAAATAGTTGAAAATTATAACTCTATTTGTAACATATAAACATATATAAGTAAATATATATACAATTCAATTTTTGGCTTGAATTACTTGAATAAATGTTTGTTTTCAAATATATCAAAAGTCATGACTGGGACAAAAAGAGCCCAAGTTGTAAATTGAGATTAGCCGTTTTTATAGGATTAAACTAACAGCTAGCAAACAAAGAGCGAAGAGCAAAGTGTATTTCTGATGTCTTAAAAACCTCCAACCTCACAAATAACCTACAAAAGCATTAAAACTGAACTTTAACTTACAAAAAAGCTGATAATTATTTACACAGAGGATGGAAGTAGGAGGCAGCCTGCCAGGCAGACGATCTTCCTGTGTGAACCATATGTTGAGTAAATGCCTGATCGAAAAGTCAGAAACTGTCAAATTAAATGAGGAAACATTTCCTTGAGCCCCAACTCATAGGACTTTGCTTTTCTATGATGTTGTTAATGGAAATTCTTTACATGTTCTGTTCTCAGTACTTTCAACACAGAAATATCACTGATGGTGTAACTTTTGTGCTTTTTGAATATTTTATTTTTTAAGAAGGGTACACGTAAATTTTGATCTACATTCTCAATAACTAGCAGAAAAGTCTGTCATGGCATTGCAGCAATAAACTGCTGATAATCTTTTCGCAAGTCTTCACCGATATGTTGATTTATCTTCAGTGATGAACTCAAAGTCTTTGAGGTTGGAAGACCCTCTTTAGCGTCTTTAAAATAATTCACTATCATCTACCTGTTCCAAAACATTAATATTAGTTCCAATCAAAAGAAACATGTAGATAATACTATTAGTAATGTTTACATTAATTCTGAATTTGCCCCGGTTCTGAATACTATTGTGGTTAATTGCAAATGTGATGATAAAAGGTTACAACATACAGTGAGTAGAAGTGAGCTGCAACATTTCTGAGACTGAAATTGTTGTCTGACTGGATTTGTTTCATCTTGGAACATGTTTGGACAAATCTGATTATTTAATTTTTTACTAGCTTATAATGGTCTTAAACAGAGTATGCTTTAAAAATTCGGAACTATTCCTTTAAAACTGTTATAAACACTTTTTCTTGCTCCTTAAACTGTAATAGCTTGTATGTTAAACTCTCTGATATCCTTTTCTCAAGAGCCAGTTCCTCAGTGGAACACATAGGGTGTGATCTCCAACAAAGTCAGTTCAATTACAACATACCGTATAGAACACGTACGGTAATGTACAGTTTTGTAGCGTACATTCAAAGCTGTCACTAAAGCCGTACAGAGCTTATCAGATTTGAAAGCTCCCCTGTCAGCACTGACAGCAGTGCTTTCTGTGCTGAGCTGCTCTTCTGCTGAAGAAGATGCAGATGAACGTTCTCTTTTGTCCTCAAGTGGCTTCTTTCTGTGCCAATTTGCAGGAAGTTGTTGAATTAAACCATAGCCAGAAATTCATCAAAGATCATGCAGCAGCCTGCTAAATTTGTTCTCATTCGGCTCATAATCTTCCCCCTTTTCCTTGTGATGCAAGAGATTTGATTCCTCAGTTGACTTCACTTAATTGCCTTTCCGCTGAACGGAAAAGGGGGAAGAAGAAAAGAAATCCCACCACTTTTAAATAAAAGGTAAATGAAATAATAAAAAAAAGGTTCATTTCTTATTCCAGCTCCCTACAAGAAACTACTATAGGCATTATTGGGAGTGCTTTAATCGAGATTTCCGCTTTGCTGCAGCTGTCTCAGAGAAGGCAGCCTTCTCAAAGAAAAAAGAAGGGGGGGAAAGGGGAGCAAACTAAATGGAAAATGGAAGCACTTTACAGCCCAGTGGCATTAAGGTACAAAGTGTATTCCTCTCCCTCCTGCAGGGTGTTCTGGTCTCTTCTATTTCAGAGCTCGTGGCACTGATCGATAGCGCTGCTTGCCACTAGGACCCTCAAGCCTTCTCTCTCCCGTGTCTATATATGGTCGACAATCACTGCGACCTTCCTGCATGACTTTGGTCATGCAGAGTCTGCCTCTGGCCTTTTTGGGGTTACTTAGAAATCTAAAGCATGCATTGAGATGGGTTGGCTCATAGATTGTGCAAGAGACGGGTTTTATGATGTAAGATCTTTTTTCATTATTATTATTTCTCTGTATGTCAGATGAAATGTAGTACAATGTCATTTAAGTGTATTGCATCTGGCTTGCTGGCAGATAGTTTTGAACTCTGAATACAGAAAACACTATACTATAAAATAAAAACATTATATAAAGTAGAATTTCTTTAAAGATAAACATTTAATTTCAATTATTCAAATCAAAATATAAAATGCATGTTATATTGATTACTCAGCCCAAGTATTTAATTCTCTGTTCATGATAATTATGGTATACAATGCAAAATTGACCTTCACAGAAACAAAAAGCTAAAGAAACAGATCTTACACAGAATGTGTACCATCTATATTTAGTTGGGGCTTCTTTTGGATTAATTATTGCATCAGTGCAAGATGGCATAAAGCTCATCAACCTGTGGCTCTGCTGCGGTGTGAAGGAAGCCTGGTTGTTTTATTAGCAGCTTCTCCCTCATTTATATTGTTGGCTCTGCTTTCTCTCATCATGACGATACTCCACAGGCTCTCTGTGGGGGTCAGGTCAGGCCATTTTAGTGACAAATCAGTGATACCATGGCCATTAAAGCACCTACTGGTACTTTTATTGAGCAACTTTTTCTACAACATTTTCCCCTTCCACTCAACTTGTGATTGATATGCTAGACTACAACACATTGTGGACAGCCAGCTTCTTTAGCAAAGCAATTGACTACCTGCTGCTTGTTGTTGGATGACAAATCAAGTCCTCAGCATTACCTTAAATGTGTCGGCTGTAACATTGCCACAACATAACTTTTTTTTTTTAATTCCCTGTCATTGGTCTTTAGCACAATTCAACTGAATTCATCAAATTTAATAGAACAATTAATAAATCTGTGTGAATAAATAATGCGTATATGAGTTTCACTTTTTTGAGCTGAATTGTTGAAATAAATTGGCTACTTGATATTTGAGTTTATGAAGTGTGTGAAATGTGGGGATGCCTCTGAGTTTCAATCAGTGATGCTTTGGCGGTTTCCAAACTGCATTGTTGTGGGGATGTGGCGTGCGCCTGCATGTGTATGCGGAAACTTGTATGCAAGTACACCAATCGGAGTGGGACGAAACGCTACCCTATGTTACAGATGAGACCAGAGGTTGCATAGAAACAGTATAGCTGACCAGATATCTATTCTGCCCCCTCTAAAGCAGAACAATCCCAGCTCTTACCACTTTAGATTACTGAATAACGTCTAATTCTGACGTTTTTAGGTAAAGGGATTTAACATTTTCTCAGAGCTTTTGAGTCAACCGACTTCTGTTCCTTGTGCTTGCAGCATGCAAGATGGCATTGTCAGCATGTCAAACATCTATCACCATAGTAGCTGCTGCTCCGAGTTATGTAACACCACCTTTGGTAGCAGGACAGCAAAATGAAAGATGGGAGCCGAAAAGAAGGAAATTGAGACGAGCAGTGCCGAGCAAAGCTTGAGCTGTCTGCAGTGAAACAGCGTTTCCTGTTTCCAGCAGGGATCCAAGTTCATCCAACCTTATCTTGCGTCTCATTTCCTAACTTCTGTAGAAACTAAGATAGTTGTGTAATTTTCTTCAGTCGTACACAGTGCACAAGTCAGAGACTGTGTACAACTACAGATTATTAGTTTACAATAATAAAAAAAGGGGGCGTCTTTTAGAGTTACTCTAAAATGAGAAGGTAGGAGAACCTGAATCCCCAAGAAGTAAAAGAAAAAAATAACAAATGCACACACCTAGAAATTATAACCAGAGAACAAAATCTGTTGAGTACACAGAAACAACCCAAAACAATTCAAACACCACTAGCACTTGTCATAATCAAAACAAAGGGATTAAACACCACTGAAAACAAAGACTGACAGTTTTCTGTTTGTTATACCTGAGATGATTGGTAGGGAAACAATTCAAACCGACAGAAGAAAAAAGAAAATCAAATTTCAAACTTAAAAATGCTTTTGACCTTGAACAAATTCAAACTTAAAGTGACTGCAAAAACCACAAGGAAAACTGAATTAGGAAAAAGAAGAAAAGAAAAAAGGAAGTTGAAAAATCATTGAGTCAACATGGACATCTGGCATTGGGTGAAGTTTTTAATTACCTCTTTACGCCATAGGCCATATTAAGCAAATTGTCCAGCCTGTAAAGAGAAGGAGGGTTCTGGGGTTAATGGTGGGCAGATGGTCGACTCAATCAATGGAACTAATGTTAAGCCCCTGTAGGAACTGCATGGACCTCCTCACTCAAGAACAAACAAACCCATCTAAAGTTGGTCCATTACACTGAGGAGCCCCAGCAGGAAACGCTATCACCAGTCCATGAATCTACAGTACAATTAGTATGGCCTGTACTTGGTTACTGGCTTGCTGAGCAGGCATTGCACATGCTAACACCAAAGTAGTGTCCTTCAGGAACATTCAGAATAATAGCAGGAACTTCCAATTACTTACTATGCAAATCTACACAGGTAAACTGGTAATTGTTTAGCATTGCAGTTACATACAGAACATTAACTGCAGGCAGAGTGTGAGCGCAGCATTGCATCAGGCATCACTGGCATGATAGTTAAGCCAGAATGCCACACCATTGCAAATCACCATCTCATTATACATGCAATAAATTGCATGTGGGTTTCTGCACTAGTTATGCCACCACACTGATAGTTTATTAGGATGGAGGTAAATGAATTTTGATTATACAGGGTTTTTAATTTGTGCTAACTTAATTAAGAGAACACCTGAGATGGCAAGGAAATGATCCAGAGTTCTGTCAGTGTAATGGTTTGGCATTTGAATGACGGTGAGTGAGAGAGGCAATGATGATTAGTTGGTTTTCTGTGTGGCAGAACAACAAAAACATGACTGGATGTTAAACTAGCCATGAAATTGTGAATGTCTGTCTTTGTGGTCAGGGTCAACCTGTTAAGTGATAACAGGTCAGGTGAAAAAGCTGAGTGTTAGTCAGATGGTGTCCTCTGTCTAAAAGGGTTAGCTTTTTGGAGATGTTTTGGTTTTATAATAATTTCAGCCTGTGGGTCTCATCCATTGCAGTCATCCAGTGTAAATCACAGTTTGTGTTGGTGTGCTGGGCTTCAGAAACCTGTGGGCTGTGTGAAATGTTGGCCCTGGTGGATGGATGCAGTCTGCTTGGTGACTCAATGACCTTCATTTTTCACTTGGGTCTAGCCTGTTTCATGTCTTATTAACTCCTCCGGCCTAATGGACAGAGGCCACGGCTTATTGAACAACAGCTGGGCAGCGACGTCTCATTCCTCTTAAAATTACTACAAACTCCGACTTTGACTCAACCATGAAGGTTGCTTCTCCTTGACTTTCACAGTCAACATATCATCTTCTTCAAAATCTTATTCTAAAAGTCCTATTTTGCAACATAATCGCACAGTGGCATGTTTCAAAGAAATTGCTACTAAGCTTTAAAATAAACTAACTTAACGTAGACCTTTTAATTCCTCTTGTTTGACATTTAAACCCATGTGAGACAGTAACTATTTGCATTGTTAGGAGCGTACAATTCTGAATAAAAACATCGATATATGGTAGTTACTTGGAGTACAAATGACATGATTTTTGGCTCCATATAGTTTGAGTTGGGAAGAAAAGCTGAGCTGAATACAAAAAGCAATGACAAACAACTTTGCATGGGTTACAGAAATAAATTTATAAAGAGCAAGTCAAAACTGGTAAAAACCCGGACATTGGTATCGGCCACAGAAAGCCAGATTGATATTTGACTTAAATTGCTTTTCTGCAGCCAAAGAGCCACTTTCATCACAGTGCACATGTAACAAGATTACCTAATATCCAAATATTATATTTTAACATTGTTTTAAATAAATTACAAATGCTTCATAATTAACCAATACCAACAGGAAATTTAACCCAATACCTACAGGCTGATTTACTAAAACCACTTTGAGATGTTTACAGATTGTATATGAATAAACTGATCATCATTTTAATTTGAAACTACTCCTGTCCATTTTCCTAGTAAGACCAAAAACATGTACTCCTTCAAATATGGATTAAAACAGCCCAAAACGTCTGACTGTAAACCACACGGTGTTTCAAATTCAACATCTAGGCATCGAAGCTGCTTCTACAAACATTTAGGTCACCGTCAGAAGCTCAGTGAATTCCAGGATTGTTCCTGATAAGATGCCATCCACACTCATAAAATTTCTTCCCTACTAAATTTTACACAGTCGACTGTTAGTTGCAGTATAACAAAGCGTAAGCCATAAATCTGCGCTAAAGTAGAAGGTAGCATAAAATGAGTCAGTGGGGTCAGCAGGTTTTGAGGCACATAGTCTGAGAAGTGGACAACTTTACGACGAGTCAGTAGCTACAGACTCCGAACTTTATGTGGCCTTCAGATTAGATCCACAGCAGTGTGTAGAGAGTTTTTTGGATTGGATTTCAAAGGAGGAACTTCACATTGAAACCTCACATGCAAAGCACTGGATGAAGTGGTGTGTCTTGCTAATCTTCTGCAGTGGGGACATGGTTTCTGGAGTGATGAATCATGACTCTTCAAGGACTCAAATGGACAAATCTGGTTTTGGCAGTAAAGTTTGGTACAGAGGGGATTATGGTCGGGTGCTGTCTTTTAAATGACCTCTACTTCCAGTGAAGTACTCATTTGTTCAAAGAGGACCAAACCAGATAACAGAACTATGTATTTGAGTATGAACAGCATTTGATATTCCTATTATAATCACCCAGTTTGATAAAGATGTGTAAATTAATAACAATTATACCTTATTATTTTGACTAAAACTTGCCTTAGAGAGAAAATAGTTTAGCAGTCATAATCTTTCAGGGACAACTTAATATTGATAGTTTTTCATTGTAATTAAGTGACTTGCACATTAGAAATCCTACAGAGAATCATCTTTTTGCATAGCAGTTAATTAAGTCAAATATTTTGAATTGTAAATGAATAATAAACACGAACAATGCTTTTATATTGTAGCAAACCTGATTTTAACAGGTCATTCAAATTTTGATACTTGTTTGTAGATCTATTTATTCCAAGATCATAGTGCAGTTACTCTACATTGTAGCAATTTTCCTGCCTAGAACGACTGCGAAATGTAAAATCAGCCTGAAAACAAAGAACTACAGAGGAGAGAAGGATATGCGGAATCATTAAAACAGTAATTAGCCCATTATGTGGGAAGGGAATGAACAGCCTGCTTTGTGGGTAAATGAGTCAATTGGAGAGGAAGTTCAGAGGAGAGGTGCTCCATCCCTAGGAGCATCAAGACATCTGCTGGCCGTGGGGCCACAACAAAACAACCTGCTGCTAAAACTCGCTCCCTTCCCCTTTTTTCCCCTCACATATGTATGAACACACGCGGATGCAGACTCACCGCGCAAACACTCTGCCAGCTCTTCACACTGCCTCAACAAGCGCCGCAGAAACAATAGGGCTTTTGTGCTCCCCATCAATGCAGTCTAATGGAGGAAAGAGCGCTTTTTTCCTTTTCTTTTCTAAAACAAAAATCTGTTCAATTAAAATTGGCTGCTGCCCTGGATATAATGAGGCTAATTTGCTAATTACTAGCATTAGTTAACAACTGAGGATCAGAAACAAGCCCAGGATGTAGGGTTTGGTGTATTGTGTTGGAGTCGATTATGTTTTCTGTCTTGGAAAATAGACTGTACAAGTACAATATACATTAACACGTGTTACAGCAGGCCCATGCGATTTTTGTCACAAAAGTTATAGGTTCTTTTTGGAGCTTGAAACATTGTTTTCAAACCTGGGAAGAAGTCCATCACTACAGTGGAGTTTAAAAGGGAACATTTGTACATGTGACTTGAGCGTAAAATGTTATGTTGCATCAAAGTGATGTTTAGTGTAGTAAAAACAATAAACCTATTAGAGCAACAGTTTGCATCAGATACTACTTTCCAAGAAGCAGTGTCTGATTAGCTTAAACTGAGTTAAAGCATTGATTATTTGCACAGTAATTAGATTAGATTTATTTAGATTTCTCTACTCCAAGAGAGAAATTTGATTGTTTTTTTTGAACTTAAGCTTATCAGGCTACACAGTTTATAAATGGTCTAGAAAAGAAACTGAACTGACTGGAAAGCCAAATGTTAGAAAGAGTCTTTAAGGGGGATGTAAAACTTTTGAAGCTGTCAAAATATTGGGCTTAATCACATAATCATCAAAAGCTTTGTTGTGAAAAGGGTAAAAGGAGTTGAAAAAGACCTGATGAGAATCAAGTGTGAAGCTGCTACAAACCCACTATTCTTCATTGCAACCTATGGAGTGAACAGAACGTCAAAGTGTTCAAGGCTCAGATGTGACCAGGTAATTAAAGCTGACAACTAACCACCACTGAAAAAGAAGATTGTTCAAAGCTTTTACAGACTGATGAGATGATTTCACACAGGAAAGCGATATGTTTGAGGTGGTGGCCAAAAATCTGTGCTCAGACAAACGTCCTCTTAACAAATCAATCAGTCAATTAGCTGATTGAAAGCATATAAAATCCCTGATTCATCTGGGCTTTCCCAAATTTTTAAAAGTAACAGTATTCTTGAACTATGTCAACTTTTGATTTTGAAGAACATATTTAAAAAATAACTTGTAAAAATTATTATTTTAGAATTTTGCAAGCGATTTGGTAGTCCCAATCGGCCCTTTAATATGGCTCTCGGTTTTAGTCTTTCTTTATAAGTTGAATCATTTTTTAAAAATAAGACATTAAACCACAATAATACTCTTTTTTTTTTCTTCTTTTACTGTTCCTTTGTTTAGGCATCAGTTTTAGAGAAAAGGTAAGGTTGTGCTCACCAAGCACATTTAGAACTTGCAAAGTGTTGAGGTTTCATTGAGGGGCTCAGGAGCAGAGAGCAAGAGCAGGAGGACACAGTGTGGAAGTGTCCTGTGGTTGTGAGTTGTGATGAGAAACGACAGCTCTCCTGCAGAGCCTGTAAATTGGCTTGGCGTATCACAGACACACAGCCACGCTACATCGCTCGGGTGTCACACCAGGGAAGCCGCTGCAGAAGAAAAATACCTTCCAAGCTCTGACTTTGATGGAGAGTAAACAGCACGACCGGCTTAGTGTTATTGTAACGGAGAAGAAAATGTATAAACACATGTTTTGTCTGTAATTCTGAACCAGTCTGACGATGGAGCGTAATGTGTGTCAGCAAGAAAGACAAAAGCATCTCTGGATGTGATGTGATTTTAAACAACTAATCAGTTTCAGGTTAGTGTGAACTGTAAGAAATGATTAGGTGTGACATCATTAAGGCAGAGGGTTGATGTATAGAAAATTAAGCTGTGGCTTAGTGTGAAAATGACCAACCTGTGCAAAAACAACTATTGGAGCTGAAAATTGCTTAACATACTATTGAAACCCCATTTGATTTAGGAATAATTTTACTTTCAAATGTTCTGCTCCCTTCTTATGAAATGGAGAATAATAATAAAAAAAAAATTACAGCCTTCAGGGCAGGAATTGTACCATATGAATTTGAATTACTAGTCATTTTAATTCTGGCACTTGTCCTTTTGTGCAGCTAAAAGAGCAGACAACATTATTAGGATTCATTACCAGTGTGTCTGTTACGTTTAATTATGACTCTAACCTAAACGAAACGTGTGGCTTTTAAAGCATTTTAACACCAATACGTGTTTTTGCCCAGGCAAAAAAAAAAAAAAAAAAAAAGATGCAGTGAAGAAACTGTCATGATGGCAAGGAGGTGAAATGAGAAGACATAGAAAGTTGTGAACGACAGAACCCCACAGTCTCTTCTCCACAGTTTCTCTCTGATGGGGGTGGACACACCCAGAGCTCTCATTGGTCTATCAGACACCTGCACCAGGTGCAGAGCTCACAGCTGTTGTTCAAACAGAGGACCTATTTGGCAAAATGACTGTTCGCAGGAGGAAAATGAGTCTTGCCAGTGTTACACAAAGAGATGAGTCATGCTCTCTGTGTGTAGGTGTTACATCCTCTGTTTAAAGAATCTATCAATTTCATTTGAAGCAAATATTTTCAAAATCATCTTGTTGTTTATAGAAGATATATTGCCTAAAAACAAATGTCAATATTGAAGCTTACTGCATTTCTTCTGCTGACTAAATATTTAATTCTTCTTGCATTCTCCTGGGTAAATATGATATACATCCCAGTAGTGAGAAAATCCTTAAATAGACATACATTAAACAGTTTCTTCTAGGGTTGCACGATACATAAAGCACATATTGATACTGAAGTTTGTAAACTCTGCTTAAAGCACATTTTTAAAATCACATTTACAGTTTAATCTGCCTGAACTCTTACCAGACCCATCCTGGGTCAACTCACCTGAACCTCTGAGCCTGGTGGTGAAGGGGACCGGGGTATCGGCGGTTGGGTGACTGGTAGAGCTGTGACAGGAGGGCTTGGCTGGTCTTCTGACTTGGGTTGTTGGCAAACTTGACCGTGATTGGCTCTGCGGCACCAGAAGGTTTCTGGCCGTTCAGGCCCTTGATGGCCTCCTCCGCTTCTATCCTCTTATCAAAGCGGATGAAGCCCACACCTCGGGAGCCACCTGCGGGGCCAGCAGATCAAAAACAGACAGAGGGCTCCTTTTACTTTATAGGTATCAAACAGAATGTTAAAGTTTAACCTATACATGCATATATGTTTGTATCTTATCGCAGGTATCACATTTTTCAAACTCTTGCTTTCTCCTTTCTCACTTCAATAATTTAATCACAGAATAGTTCTTTGGAAAAACCTTTGGGCTTGTATGAGTTTTATTAAGTTCAATCTAAGACTTTTAAGGTCTTTTTGAAAAATGTCTAAATTTAAGAGTGTTTTAGTAACTTAAGCAAACATAAAACCCAGAAGTCTAAATGTGTTTATTGGAAGAATAAACCAGTATTTGTTTGCAAACACATTTGTCCTGAAAAAGAAGTCTGACTACAGATTACTTATTAATCATTTAAAAAGTACTGTCATTTTTCAGGTGTTTAGAAGGGAAATTCATTTTCTACGGATGATTTTTTGTTTTGTTTTGAGGCATTGCCAAATGCAAACATAAACGAGCAAAATGGCATCTCCCAGAGTGAATGAAGTGACTGTAGACAAATCTACTTGATAGCATAGCCACTAGCCAGTTAGGAGCACTTCATGCTTAACATTATTTTTTCTGCTAATTCAGTTTTGTGCTAACTTGCCCCTTCAGCCCTGTGATAGTTGATGTTCATGCAATAGATATCAGGACAAATTGCTCATCTTCAAATACGCTTGCAGCACATTTCTGCTCTGTATGGATTCATGGTGCATCTCTGAGACAAAATCGCACTTGATGCTGTTTCAGCATCAAGTGACAGATCATAGTGTTCTTCAATATTCCAGCAAAAAACAAGCCAGGCAAACTAAAGTCATGATTTTTGGACATCAATTTAAAAAAAAAAAAAATCATGATCCATTAATTTTTTTTTTCAATTAGGACAGTCTGTTTTGTCTGCAGTGTAATTTCTCATGTATGGTAGAGATGAGTGTTTTTTTTGCACCATTCTTTAATTTAAATATGAATAAAATATTTGCTTTTAACATACTTATGAGATCTAACTTAAAGTTTTGGCTGTGTTTTTATATTTTATTTATTTCTGTTTGTGTTGTGCTTTAAAAAAAGAAAATGGTTGAAAGAAATGGTTTAAAGTTGGTCTTGTGCGTCTCCAGTTCATAATTAATAGCAAAATGTTTCATTTTGACGTAGGGAAATATCTAGGAAATAAAAGGATTTCCTCCTGAATGTCACAAAAACAGATGTTTTGGAAATAAGAAGCAACTGGTAACTTTTATTGTATAAGGTTTCACAAACACCATGACTATTACAAGAACTCTATACTCCATAAATATAGAAGACCTGATTATAAAGACCTGATTCCCTCAAGAAGTCATTTAGCGTAAGAATAACTCGCACTACAGACTAATTCCTCAGTTTAAAGCTGCATTGTCCACTCTTTTCTTCTACCGTCTGCAGTCACGGTCACCACACACTCTTCGTGCATTGCTCTCAGTGACATTTAAGCCGTTTCCTTGGCTACACTTTTTTGACTGCCACCTAAGAGGAACATTTAGAGATGTGCTTCCCAGGAGGTCCTTTATTGGTGTCTGTGAATGCTTTGTGTGTTTTATTGACTGTCTACGTATGGATGTGTGAGTGTGTGCGTATGTGTACATGCACAGTGGTATCTATTAATGGATGCTGTGCCTTGTTTTAATGAGGTTGCCTGGATGGCCCAGAGGATGCTCACTCAGTGACGGCAGCACTCTGCCGAAGAGACTATTTACATAATACTGTGTGCACACAGACATGCCTGTGTGACTGAAGCTGAATAAAAGAAAGGCAGTAAGAAAGAAGCGAATGTTGTGTTTGAGGCATCATTGTGTACTGCCTCTTTCTCACACTTAAAAAGCTCTCCTTATTGTTATTCCACATTTTTGTACATGCCATCCTGCTCCCTATTTCTTTTTTATATCCACTTCCTGTTGGCTTGTCTCATGGCACTAGCTCCCCTGAATTCTTATTCAGAGAAGCACCTTGACCATCTCACTCTCTTTTGTTCTCGTTTCCTCAGCGGGGCGCAGGCATCACAAGGTTATTTAATTTCCAGCCAAGCTGCATCATAAAAATACGCTCTTTGAAAGCAAGTCATTAATTAAATATGTCTTATCCTGTTTCCACTCTACTGCTGCACATAGTAATAAGTCATCCTCTGGTTTTGGATTTACTTTTTAAAGAAATGAAATGAGAAAATTTTCCGATATTTCGGGTAAAGTAACAATTTTGTATTAAAGGATCATTTACTGACATTTCGTGGCAAAGAAGGTTCTCAATCTGAATCCTGGCCACGGATTGAATTTGCATGTTCTCCATGCATGCACTGGATATGGGTCAACCTTAAGTGTGTAAATTAATAGTTGTTTGTCTTGTTTATCTCTGTGTTGCTCTGTGATAGACTGCCGACTTCTTCAGGGTGCACCCTCCCTCTAATCCAATAACTGCTGAAGATAAGCTTCTTTAAATGATGTAATATAAGTGTAATGTCAACACAAAGATCCCATCCCGAGTAGTTGCCCATATCACCCGTATCAGAAACCATCACCAGATATGATTCAGTTCATGCAGTAGCGCTTCTGAACGGAGCGCTGCTGTTGTCTTCCTGAACAGTAGGAGGCGCCATTGAGAATAGAAAGCTGCTCCACAGTACAACTGGTAGCAGAATAAGATTTTTGTCAGTTCATTTACTAAGACGATGTAAATCAGTACTTAAGTGAACAGATTTTACTGATGTACACATAAAAAACAATATATCCAAGCTTCTTTCCTCTCATCCAAATTAGTTTAACTCCACAGCTCTAGTGTGCACAGATATTTTTTTGCTACAGTTCTGTTTTAGAGCAGATAAATCTTTTTAATATTCCTCCATTTTTTTTAACTCAAAAAGAAATTTTATTTGGACAACAGTGCACAGTGATGTATCGCATAAAAATAAAAATAAATGTTTTAAGTTGAATAAAAAAATTCGATAATCAAATGTATTTTATGTCAAATCTGAAATACGTAAAAGTGCTACTAGTTGATGGAAGTTAGCAAATTTTCATAAACTGATGTTTCAAAATGCCATCTTGACGCTTTTCTTTAAGTTCTTTGGTTCTATGATAAACTCTTTTTGTGATTTTAAAATATAACATTGGCCAGATTATATCAGGGCATATAAAACAGCTCTCGTGATTTGCTTTATTCATTTATTTGAAAATAATTTCCTGTTCTTCTAAATACTTTTCTAACGAGCACTAATCTTTGAGAAGTCAGCAAAGCTCCAGCTTTGGATTTCAGTCACACATCTTACCAGAGCACAGCCAAAATATTTTAATTTTACCTGTTTGACAATTTTATTAGCTTTCCACTGCAAATTATTTTCTTTCCCACATTTAAAGATTCTGGTTCCCTCTCCTCTGACAGGCTTTCACAATTTCCCCTCCCTTTTTTTTTTTTTAGTTTTGTGCCAGCTCTGTACCTGTACATTTTAATTAGGTTGTCACAAGCAGAAAATAACTATTCTAATGGGATCTGCACAGTGCAAACAACTACCACTGCTGATCCAACTGATTCATTTATTTATTACAGCTTTTGGCGAGTGTGAGCAGAGTGTGAGGTAAAATTAGGGGCATAGCTGTCTCTCTAGAGCTCCGTTTGGGTGACAGCCATTTACTGTTCTTGTAATGGGCATTTGTAGATTATTCGATTTCTCCTAAGCACTAAATACTTCCCCAGCAGCACGTTTCTCCCTTATAATTGGAATCGGCACAATTTCACAAAAGAATTTTGCTAGAAGACACTTGGACACTCCAAGAACCTTGCTCAAGGGCACCTCAGCGTTAGTTAAAGGAGTAGAGAGCGCTGCTCATATTCTTCCTCCACTGCAATAAGAAAGAAGAGAGGATTCTGTATCGTCCTTTAATCCTCATAGTTGTTTGGCCTTGAGCTCCTCCTAAGCTGGTTCTCACTGGAGGCCCTCCAGATAAATGCTTGGCATACAGATGAAGGCCCGGCGCAAACACACACAGGAACGCACGCAATTATGTTGCGACTTGAAGAAAAATGCTTCTAAGCATGAAGTGTGAACAGAGAGGACTTGCATTTAAGGGTTGTAGAAAAAAAGCGCACAATTGTATCCATCTTATGTGCTTATGTGGCATAGATCCACATATGAACCATTGACCTGCAACAGGGACTGCATAGAAAGGAGGCGAGAGAGCAAAATAGATAAGAAACCAGGATTTTGCTCCACATTGAGTGTCCACTCGCATGCCATTTTCTTGCTTAGCTAATAATAAGGGCATTTTAAAGCATGAACAATGATAAACGTTAATTAGGAACGATGTACGACTTAAAGATCCAAAGGTCTTTGAGGCAGAGTGATATACTTTTACACAACAAGAAGAAAAGTTCTACCATACTTGCTTTTAAGACGTGGAGGTATGTTGAGCACTCTGCATGGAAAAAACAAAATACAAAACTCCTCAAATCTTCAGAAACTTTGACATGTTTAAATTTGTCAAAACCTGGGAAACACACATCTTCTATGTCTTTATGCAGTTTTCTCTATCTTTGGTGTGTTTTATTGTTCTTCTGTCTTTCAACTGAAGCTGTTTTTGAGCCGCCACCTTCCTTAGTCAGAATGCTTTTGCAAATAAGTCTTTGATCTTAATGAGTCCCTTTCTGGTTGAATAAATGTTCACAATAAAACTAAATATCTAAAGTTTCCATAACCAACTGCAATCCAAACTGAGTGTGTTCCCTTCTTGCTGACTGCCATCTGAAACTCATGAGGTAGTGCATAGTTGTAAGTGAAAGGAAAAAGAAGCGCGTTTCTTAAATTGTTCCATGAATAAAATATGAAAAGCATGGCCATGTATCGTGATGTCTTTTAAAAACACCCAGTTCAAGCAAAAGCCTTCAGAAGACGCCTGATTAATAACTGGAATCCATCTGTCTGTAATTTCGTCTCGGTATAAATACAGCTGTTCTAT